ATTATTAAATCTGCAGTAGTAAAGTAAGTAAGTAATAGTATAAATCTGTGCTTAATTGATGTTATGTGGTTGTGTGTCATAAAGACAGACATTCAAAGGGATTGCTGTTGCTGTTTTTTGGGGGGGGCGGGGCAGGGGATAAATTGTTTTTGTTTAAAAATTTTAAAATCCCCCAAAATCTGTATATATATGAATATTTCTGAAACTTCTGATACCCTGGTTATCTTGTGCATTGTCTATAAAATCCAAGTAGATAGCTCTTGTCGTTTCTTTTGAAAAAGTTGCTTATATTTTTTTTTTAAAATTCTCCCAAAATCTATGGATAAGTGAAACATTCTGAAATTTGGTGGGCTAACAGTGGTAAATGTGTTCCACCATTGTAGCAAGCTTCACTACATTAGCTTTAAAAATGAGAGAGAAGGGAACACCTGAAGTATCTCAAATTATAGAAATTATACACAATTACTATAATGAAATAGTAACAAAATTTTGTTGCTCCGGTTATAGTAATGATTTTTTCACTAACTATACTTTAGAAACACTTTAGAAATGAAATGCCAGCACCCCTAGTTTTGTAATGACTTTCGAACCATTTTAATGGATTGCACATCCCTACTAAGCCAGTTGTAATTTCTGAAGATACATTTGGATCTAGATACCATTTTCACACTATTGTAAGATTTTCACAGAATGCCGTTAGGAAATCTCATGTTTAAGGTGTCTGTGACATCAAAAACTTCCCATAGGTGACAGCTTAGATACTGTGAAGACAAAACCCAAGCAGTAGTCTGAAACATAGCAGGATCGAATCTCCTAGATTTAGAAATATTTTGGCATTTGCAGTTATAGAGTCATTTGAAACAGCTTTTTAATCTAGTAAAATCAATGGGTTTAAGGTGTGAAAAAATGTAGCGATCTTGAAGATACTTTAGTAAAATACTTACAGCAAACTGGGAAATGCTGGTTTTCCCCTGTCCTTTCATAAGAAAGCAGAGATATATATGCTTGAGAATGGTTTATAATTGTCCCTAGCCTTGACAGTGGGATTTTCATTTTAATTACAATTTGTAGTGCAGCTGTTCTGGTCTTTCCATCATCTCATCGTTGATAGGGCATCTAATTAGCACTTTATGGCATTTTGTGGTCAATTATAGAATGTTATAAAAGAAAGAGAAAGAGCGGTTTAGCAAAGAAAACTGCAATCCTCATTCTTTTCTTGGAGAGAATTTTTACATAGAATTTTATAAGTCACATTTCCTCTACTAACTATGAAAAACCCCTACGATTAGATTTTTGAAAAGTCGTCTGGTGCCATTAGATGTCTCCCTGATTGCTGGCCCTATTAAAAACTTCTTAAAGTAATAGATAGGTTTAATTCCTCAAGCAAAAGAAAAATTATCGCATCTTAAGTATTTTCCATATTTCTTATATTGATGTGGTAGAGAAAGAACAAAAAAGGGAGGAAAAAAATCCAAGAAAGAAGCAAAATCTCTTGTATTGCAAGTTTTAAATGTACCAAGCTAAGGTTTACTTAATTAGAACCTCGAGGCAGTAAAGGAAGCCTTTTTTAAATTCTGTGAATCTTAATATGCTAAATAATGCAAAGCTTCAACTCTTCAAGCATGAGACACACATCTGGCCGCTTAACATTTAAATTACAGGCAGAAAAAAAATCCCTTCCACTTCTTTGGTAATTTTCTTGAAGAAAAGGAATGGGAAATGTATTACAACTGAATTTAATTTCATTTTAGATTTTCATCATGTTTAATTGCACAGCATTTTTTTCTTTTGCAGGCGTCTCTTTATTTTATTTATGACACGTTTTCTTTTCTCCTCCTGTATTTTTTTATTGATCTTTAATTTAAGCAGCTTCTCACTGTTTATGGCCACTGAAGAATTACATTGTGTTCTACCAGGAAATCCATCTAGAGTTAAAAGTAATGAGCTCAGTGATACAGAAAATAAAGGAAAGAAGGCAAGCTCTGAGAAACCTCCACAAATTAAAGCACAGCAACCCCCCTGAAAATTATTAAGCAACTGCATTTAGTTCAGTTTTTGACTCAGACAATCCAGTGTTCCCTTTCTTTCTTGCTTGGCAGATTATAGCACTGGAGGGGCAGAGCACAAGTTCTGCTTTTGTTATAAGAGGGAAAAACTATACCATGGTTTGCTGACTTTCACTCCACACATTTGCCACCACTGATGAGCTATGTTAAGGAGTGCTTTCCGATTAAAACCAATAAAAATAAAGGGAATATATATATTTGAAGATTTTTCATACATTCTAACATTTCACTTATTATTATTTTTCATACATTCTAACATTTCACCACCACCAACCCCCCCCCCACCCCCGTGGCGCAGTGAGTTAAATCACTGAGCTGCTGAACTTGCTAACCGAAAGGTTGGCAGTTCGAATCCGGGGTGCGGGGTGAGCTCCCGCTGTTACGCCCAGCTTCTGCCAACCTAGCAATTTGAAAACATGCAAGTGTGAGTAGATAAATAGGTACAACTTTAGCGAGAAGGTACCAGCACTCCATGCAGTCATGTTGGCCACATGACTTTTGAGGCATCTACGGTCAATGCCAGCTCTTCAGCTTAGAAATTGAGATGAGCACCCCGTCCCCAGAGTTGGACATGACTAGACAATGTCAAGGGGAAACCTTTATCTTTTAACATTTCACAGATGGAAACTGGGGCATGTGTGGCCAAACAACATCTGACTCTGGTCACCATGGCAAAAGTTATTACTGTGGATGAGCACACAAGCTTGGACAAAGTGCAGCAGCTTGCTTTTGTCTGTTGTTAGGAAGGTGAAAACTCTGCTCCTTCCTCTCCTTTTCACTCTGATGAATTAACTGAATATGAAGTACTTTTAGACCTTAGGCTCAATTTGTAGAAAATGAAGACAAATGGGCAAAGTGGGATTAGAGAGGAATTAGAATGTTGTAAAGGTAGGACAACGCAGGACTAATTTGGACTGCCCATGGTATATCAGGACAGTTGGATGATATATCTTTTTCTTCCAGAGCCCAACATGATCTGAAGGCTCTTGATTTCAGAGGGTCTTCCTTGGGTACACGTTTAGTGGGTGGTAACAAGGGAGTCTATTCTGTTGTAACATTTTTGTTGTATTTAAAATGCCTTGGAAACTGTTTGTCTCAGGCTGGATCTACACTGCCATATAATCCAGTTCAAAGCAGATAATCTGGATTTTATATGGCAGTGAAGCTCCAGCCTAATTCATGGTTTGTCAGTGTTGTAAGGCTCTCATTTTCAGAGCTTTGTCCTTCTAATGTCTCCGTTATGGAGAATTCTCCCGGGAGGCTCACCTAGTTCAAGATATTTGCACCAGGTAGGGCAACAAATGTTGACTAGTGATCTTCTCCAAACATAGTTCCAAAAGTAGGCCAAGTTGTTTTAGCTGGGGAACAACATGTGTAAACAATCCCCAAAGGCTTTCTTTCTCCTTGGCAATAAAAATATGGCAAAATACCATTAAAATCAATTTGCTGCTACTCATATACCTGACAGTTTGACACCAAAGAAATAGTAGTAAGGAAGTACTTGACTTGTATCTCTTTTGATATTATTTTGGCATCAGCTAAATGGCTTTTACAATTTGGTGTGTTTTGAACTAGGTGTTGGTTTTTATGTTGCCATTTTTGATCAGGTTTTACACATTGGTTTTGCTGTTGTGTTTTATATTTTGATGTTATTATATTTTACTTTCCAAGTCTCCCTGGAAAGGGTCTTTGAAAGATGAAAGAGAAATTTGTTCAAAGAATAAGCAAATTGTCATGGGCAACTAGGTGCATATAAGAACCAGGGATTTGTGTACATGAAAAATGATCAATGAGCTACTCTGGATGAAGATGTGATTTATAGGCCCCATCTACATTGCCATATAATCCAGTTTCTGAATACAGATCATCTGCTTTGAACTGGATTGTATGGCAGTTTTTTTATTGTGCCAGAAGCGAATTGAGGGTACATTTAAAATATATTTAAAAACACTGTATGGCAGTGTAGACTCACATAATCCAGTGAATTATTTCCTGCACAGAAAATCTGGATTTAACACAAAACAACCATAATGATGATGATGATGATGATGATGATGATGATCATCATCATCATCATCATCATCATCATCATCTTTATTTATACCCCAACCACATCTCCCCAAAAGGGACTCGGGGTGGCTAACATGAGGCCAAGCCCAGAATTACAGTACAACAAAATAAAATAAAACACAAACAGCAAATAATAGCGCGAAAAATACAGAAAATAACAGAAAATGAAATAAACAGATGCAAAATAGTATGATGAAGAAATAAAATAAAACCTTGTGTAAATTTTGTAAAGAGTAAGTCCCAAACTATTAAGATTCGTACCAGGAAACCTCATCTGGGTTTCTCAACATGTGAAAAACATATTTTACAACCATTAAAAATTATTTGATTCCCCTCAAGTAGCCTATCCAGCTGTAATTCAGAAAAGTAACTCTTTGAAGCTCTGATGAGGCCATCCATGCAACCACTTTGGCATTTCCACAAGTGATATGATAATAGAAGGAGAAACAAACAAGTGTGTCTACTGTAGGAGGAAAAGTGACCTCTCTACAAAAGCATGTGCTTTACTGCTGAAATTTGGATCCATTGCTCGCTACTCCTTCCCACACACTGGTTAAGCACTGCATATTCCCACACAAAACAAATAAAGAGTGAGCAAGCACATGATTTTGAGGAAATGCTCTGTTTGCTTGAACTCATCCCAGGTCCTGGACATCAACAATATGCTGTGCCGCTTTATATTTATTTGATTTTGAGTCTCAGTGACCTTTCTAAGCAAGTTCATGATGTCTAGAGCAAAGCAGACATTATTCTTGAGGCAAATGATATAAATCCTAAATTATTTAAAGCTCGCAGATGTGATTATTTAAACAAGAATCTTTGGAGTCATTGTTTTAATAGCAGTTTTTCACCTTCTGTGCTTAGGAAATGAGGCTTATGCAAACAACTCTGGCGATCCTGACAAGTACTGTAATATGCTCCCAGTGAAGGAAATCCATGGCAGACAATGCAATGTAAGGATTAATGTATAATGCCTTTTAAAAAAAACTGTTGCCAAATTCTTCTGTTATTCTAATTATTCCAGAAAAGCATCATATCTGAGGGAGGTTTTTATGCATCTGGCAAGGTGTAAGAAAACAGCTTGTTTTGTGAACTCAGCAAGGCCAATAAAATGTTTTATGGCTAAGAGCACACCTTTTTCCTGCACTACCAAAGACTTAAGCTAAATAAAACTCTTTATAACTTACCTGCCAATCTTTGAAGTTGTAATTGAAGAGTTGTATTCCTTGCTGATTTTGCTGAACTTTTATGGTTTAATGGCCCTTTTTACTTCTGTTTCTACCTGCTCCCTTTAGAATATGGCTTGAGGTCTGAAAGTCATGACACAATAAAGAATCAAAGCACTTTCCTGGAAAATGAACCATCAAAGGAAATTATATTGAGATCATCTTATCTCATTCTATTAGTGGCTAGTAGATATCTGAGTGCCCTTCTACACATTGCCAAAACCCTGGAAGTAACCAGGTTAAAAGGGATAGGTGGGTGACTAAACGATGTTTAGCCAAAGTGTGGGCAGAATTGGGTTACCAGTAGGGCAAAGCAGAAAATGTGGGATTTTATTCAGCTGTGTGGAAGGGGCCAATGTTATTGCTAATGCATCATTCCAATTCTTATAGTACCTCCTGTTTCCCATGTTAATCAAGGCCAATTGAGTTATTTATATTCTCACATTATCTATACTATGCCAATAATATTTAATATGAGATATTATAGTATCGCATAATTAAGCATAATACCATCCAGTAATTTGTGTTAATATAATTTTATTTAAAATTGTGATATAGTAAAATTAGACTTTTAAAACAATTTGGAAGTAAAAACTAACTTATGGACCCTACACATGTCTACTCAGAAGTAGGTTTTTTTCCAATTCAGAGTGATTTGCTCCTGACTAAACTGGCATAGGATTGCAACCTTGTTAAATTGGGAGACTGCCAATTAATAGTACGGTTCTGTAGGCTGTATTTCAGAGGAAGACACTGACAAAACCAGCTCTTAATATTTCTTGCCTGAGAAAATTCTATGAAATTTACAGGTTAGGGTTGTATGCACACATACAAAAATATTTAAATGTACCTTCTTTTCCCTGAATCATGACCACTGTTTCTTTTTAAATGAAAAGGAGAAAAGTAGACTATCCCTGCTGCAGGAAAGAGTAATAGGTTACGTTTGGAGAATGCCTGATGTTCACAGCTATTTCATGCCTCTACTTAATTACTCCTGTTTCTGTTCTTCTGATGTTTTGTTGGCCTAAAAAGCAAAGCAGTGACATTGTACTTGATGTTGTTCAGAGCACTGTGCTGCATATAATTAAGTTATTAACATCTTGTTATTAAAGGGCACAAAATGCTTATGTCCATGCGATCATTGTGAGAAAGTAAATGCTTCCTGGAGTCACACCCATTTGTCTTTGACTTACGATCTGGATTGAGTCATATGCATGATCAAACAAAGCCCAGAGAAGTTGATGTATAATCCCTTTTAAATCCTTTTTTGTTTTGCCTCTTAAACACTCTAATTCTGATTCATACACAGGTAGAAGATAGCATGTCAGCACTCTGCATATGCAGCCAAGTTTGAGATCACAAGACTTCTTTCTTGCTCTTATTTGCTGTCAAATCACCTTTGATTTGACTGGGATTTTATGAAGAAACCTCCAAGAAACTCTGCCATCAACCAGTCTTGCAAACTTTGGACCATGACTTCCTTTACTGAAGCAATCCATCAGTAATTTGGTGCTTCTTTTTGCCGAGTGCCTTCAAACTTTGATGAGCATTGTGATCCTGTCCAATGAGTCATGCTGTCTCATATTATGTCCAAAGTAAAATAGCCTCTATTTAGCTATTTTTGCTTCTAGTCAAAGTTCAGGCCTGATTTTCTCTTGAACCTGTTTATCTTTTTGGCAGTCTGAAGTATCATAAAGCAGTCCACAAATACTCCCAGCTCACAATTTGAATCAAAGCAAAATACAGTAAAAACAGTATTCGTTATATTTAACAATTACAAAATGAATACAAAACATATTTTCAAACCCGGAAGGGTTTTTCAATAACGAAACGGCATCCTCCATCCTTTTTACGAGCTTCCGCCCGTTTCGGAAATGGGATGGAGGATGCTGGTGCCTGGGAGCCAATCCGGCGCTCCCAAGCACCCAAGCAGTGCACCGTGGCTGATTTTGATTGGCCGGGAAGCCCTTTAAAAGCGGCTCCGCGTGGCCGCTTTGCTCATTGTTGCGGAGGCGAGGGAGAAGGGAGGTCCGGGAGGGCGGCTTCTGAATATTTTCTGAAAATACCTGCCTTTTATTCTTCTGTGGCTGTGTGCTATCGTTTGTCCCTGTCTTGTGGCTGTTTGCTCCACAGCAGGGCGAGCATTTTGTTAATTTTCCATTTTTAAATATTTTTGAAAAATACCTTTCTTTTATTCTTAAAAAAATCAAAAAATATTCTAAAAAAAGAAAAGACCCTTGTGTGGCTGTGTGCTATCGTTTGTCCCTGTCCTGTGGCTGTTTGCTCCACAGTTGATTTGTTAATTTGTTAATTTTCCATTTTTAAATATTTTTGAAAAATACCTTTCTTTTATTCTTAAAAAAAAATCAAAAAATATTCTAAAAAAAGAAAAGACCCTTCTGTGGCTGTGTGCTCTCGTTTGTCCCTGTCTTGTGGCTGTTTGCTCCACAGCAGGGAGAGCATTTTGTTCATTTTCCATTTTTAAATATTTTTGAAAAATACCTTTCTTTTATTCTTAAAAAAATCAAAAAATATTCTAAAAAAAGAAAAGACCCTTCTGTGGCTGTGTGTGCGTTTGTCATTTGTGTAGTTCCAACCAGTGCGCTCCTTTTGCCAACACAAAGTGCTACATAATACAGTGCTTGCTCATCATTTGTGTAGTTCCAACCAGTGCGCTCCTTTTGCCAACAGAAAGTGCTATAATACAGTGCTCGCTCATTTGTGTAGTTCCAACCAGTGCGCTCCTTTTGCCAACACAAAGTGCTATAATACAGTGCTCGCTCATTTGTGTAGTTCCAACCAGTGCGCTCCGTTTGCCAACACAAAGTGCTATAATACAGTGCTCTCGCTCATTTGTGTAGTTCCAACCAGTGCGCTCCTTTTGCCAACACAAAGTGCTATAATACAGTGCTCGCTCATTTGTGTTGTTCCAACCAGTGCGCTCCTTTTGCCAACACAAAGTGCTATAATACAGTGCTCGCTCATTATTTGTGTAGTTCCAACCAGTGTGCTCCTTTTGCCAACACAAAGTGCTATAATACAGTGATCGCTCATTTGTGTAGTTTCAACCAGTGTGCTCCTTTTACCAACACAAAGTGCTATATAATACAGTGCTCGCTCATTATTTGTGTAGTTCCAACCATTGTGATGAAACGCTTCCTTCCCGGCTTTTCTAGTCGCAAGGGCCAAGTGCTATCGCGAATACCAATTTCGTAAATGCTTCGCGCATGCGCTAACGCGGGCACCGTCTTAACGAATCGATTCGTTATTAGCGGTTTCACGAATAACGAATTTTCGTAAACGCTTTGCGCATGCGCTAACGCGGGCGCCATCTTTACAAATCAATTCGTAAATATTTATGAAATTTCATAAATACCGAACTTTTTTAAGGGAAAATTTTGTAATTATTTTAAATATCGAAACAAAAAAACCCCCCAAATACAAATCGATTTTAGAAACAAATTTTTCCGTTGTTACCCAGGCCTAAAAACAACATAAAAACAACATTATACCAATAATAAAACAATAAAACAACCATTATAAGCAACAACCAAGGACATACTTCAAGTCTTATTTTTAAAAAGGTGGTTAAAATATAACAATGATAATTAAAATACAAATACAACACACCCCAGCTAAATGGCCTTCTACAACAGGCAATTAATACTGGAAGACCTGAGTAAACAGAAACACCTTCTGTGTTGGAATCCCCTTGGTAGGTCTACTTGCCCTTTTCTTTGGACTGCCCAAACTAGTTTTCAGCTGCTCCCACAGAAGTTGAGGAAGCAGGAATCCATTTTGTTTCCTTCTGCTTCAGGATAAGCTTTGTTTAAATTTAACTGCTTTCAGTGCTGCTTGTTTGAGAGGAGGGGCTTCCTGAGTTTAAAAATTAACTGCTTTGTTTGAGAGGAGGGGCTTCCTGAGTTTAAAAATTAACTGCTTTGTTTGAGAGGAGGGGCTTCCTGAGTTTAAAAATCAACTGCTTTGTTTGAGAGGAGGGGCTTCCTTTTTTTTTTTTTTTTTTATAAATTTTATTTTGGATAACAAAACAATACAATATGAACCTTAGCATCAAAAGACAATATCAAAAACTGATTACAATTTTTATGTCTAGGATACAGGTTCCAATTGTGCTTCCCTTAACCATAAATCTTGATTAATCACCCTTTTAAAAACCCCTCCCCACCCACCCACCCTTACCACCCTCTCCTCACCTCCCTCCCACCCCCATCTGGGTTACTTGAATCAATTCATTGATTTAATTGTCTGGAAGGCCTGATTTAAAGTTCTGTACCTATCTTTTCCTTCCGTTTTTTCGATTAAACAAGACCATTTTCTAAACCAATCTTGTCTTGACTGAATATTCAAATATTTATTTTTCTTTTCATAAATGAAATCACTAATTAAATATTCAGAAAGATAAGACCACCAAGTTTTCATGTCCCACCTTGTTTTATCTTTCCAACCTCTGGCGATTGTGGCATGTGTAGCAGCTATCATAAATTTCAATATCTCTGACCATTCGTTGTTTCCCTCCTTTACCTCTATGTTGAGGGACAGAAATCGAGCTTTATCCCAATGTAGTTTTTGCCCTATTATTTCCTCTATTACTTCTCTAACAGTATTATAGAATTTTTGGATTTCAGAGCAGTCCCACCACATGTGTGAGAAAGTAGTAACCTATACTTTCACCCCTGCATACAGACAACAACATAAAACACACACCA